AAACTCTAAGCCCCAAAACGAAAAAACGAAAGGAGGAGCCGCGCCTTCCCGAATGTCGTCGTCGGAGTTGGTCCACTGCACCCGGTCGCCCTTTTGGAAGGGCAAAGGGCGCAGCTCCCTGGGTCGAATGCCTCGGCTTGGGACTCTCTAGGGTTTAGGTTTAGGGTCCGAGGACGGGTGGCGGGTTTAGGGCTCATGGAACTTCGTGTACATGAATTGGGCCGATAGAGCTGTGTAGCTGTGATGGTCAGCCTTGGAAGGAACTCGCATATCTACAGCTTGTACAAGCCTAAGTTTAAATTCTTGCTAATTAAAGCTCGCAAGCGATCGAACGTGTATCGTGTTTTTAACATAATAAGCGTTTCAATATTTTAGGCCTTCAGAGGTTTGTTGGGGAGGATGGGGGTTGGCTGTTTTGGGCTTGGGCTTCCCTGCTTTCAGGGCGGTGAGTCTATGAGGGACAGGCAAGTGAAGGTTGGGATGGCGCTGCGTGCAGGAGTGCTGCGATGTATAGGATGCGCGGACGACATTGCATGAGTCGCATGGTTTCAGCCGGTCTTCAAAAACATAGCAGTTCCATATGGGCATTTCCCAAAATAGAGGTACCCTGAATATACCACCCCAAAATAGTCTAATCCTTATTCTAGGAACCCCTCAAAAGGGGTACCCCTATTTTCGAAAACCCCATGTGAAAAAAGAAAACTCGTCATGGAGGCGGCAGATCTCAAAGTCTTCGACCATTTGCCAAAAAAGAAGAGAAACACTTAGCTATATCTATAAATAAATAAATGAAAAATATATATTCATATACACTTCTGTTTTCTTCCTTGTAAGGTCAAAAAATGGGATGTTTTGATACTTTCGGGGGGGGGGGGGTTCTGAAGCACATGGTCGTCTTGGGATGTTCTGTGGGGCCCCCCTTTCCAGTCCGGAAGGCTCCAGCTGCCCTTTGGCCACTGCACCCGAAAGCTGTTCCTTAGATTGAGACTCTCTCCACTGAAGGATCCCTAAACCCTAAACCCTAAACCCTAAACCCTAAACCCTAAACCCTAAACACTAAACCCCAAACCCTAAACCCTAAACCCTACCGTTGCGGGCACCACTTCCCTTTGGGCTCATAAGCACACAGACCCAAGCAAGGACCCCAGTTGGCCGAAGTGTTCAGCTCTCGCTTGTCAGGTGCGGACCGGGGTAGGTGGAGGGAAGTGATTGCAGGTTCCACAGCTCTTGGGATGTTTCTTTTCTTTTTTTTTTTTACGAGGGCTCGTGGTGGTGTCACTACTCGAGGTCTACGGTGACATAAGCAATTTTGAACGAGACTGTTATTGCCTTCCTTTGAGCGCTCTGCGCACGAAGCTGTCCGACTTGGAAAGCAAGAGCAACCTGCCACAAACATTCTAACCACATGTACCTTCGAGCCTTACTTAAATGCCAGCAGCAGAGTAGTAGGAGGAGGAGGAGGAGTTTCGGAAGAAGTACGAGAGATCAGCCATGTTCTCAAGTTTCCCAGAAGCCCTCAAAGAAAGCCAAGGTTCTTCCCCTCCTTTTGGCGAACTATCTCACCTCGGCTCTAGGCTGCGGCAGACTGAGTGTTCGGGACTTCGAAGGGGGTGGGGCTTATGATTTCAGAGACTACGATCGGAGAGCTGTGCACCTTTTTATGCTTTGCTTTTGAAAACCGTTCATGCCTCGGGGCGGAGGATGCTTTCGTTCCGTCATGTTTTGACTCCCAATGGCTTACTTCCATATAGTACTGTAGCAAGCATACCACACAGATCCATACTGCCTGCTGTATGCACAAAGTTTAGGGCTGCGGGTTCGCTCAATCTTGGGGCTTCTTACAGAGAGTACGTATATGCATCTGTTCACTTCCGGCTAGCCAGAGGTAAACTGTAACACGTGTGCCTTCAGGCGCTCATCCCTGCAGCGCTTCGTATTGCATGGTGCACTTGCAACATACCGGGCTACTACTGCCATACTGTTGTGCGGCATCAGTTCGACTTGACACTTGCAAGCTCTTGTCGCTCGGGTTCGAAGCTTCAAAGCATCTTCAGAGTCTCCTTTAAGCGTCCTCCCCCACTGGGTGAAGGTCTACGAAGCGAGAAGCCTGAGAGCTACGACCAGCGGCCGATGTCGTGCTTTCCGATGTCATCATCGTACTTCTCCCAGGTCACGAACCTGAGTCGCAGCACTTACAGCTGTTCGGCGCATTTGCGTGCGCAGGATCCAAAGCAACGTCGTACATTGTCATGCCCATCAGCTTACACAGAAATACTGGTCACAGCCCTCATGAGCAAGCACTCAGTTTCCTTGAGATTTGAAGGCCAGGTGCAGGATACTCTACGTGTGTATGTGCGTGCTCAGGTACGCGCCCTGACCCTGCTGAACAATCCTGCCGAGTGAATCTACTATATAAAATGCTCGGGGAGTAGAGCCATCGGCATGCTTCAAGGAGTCCATACAATGATCCCTTGCCGGGAGCCCACACCACCAAAACTAGCGAAATCACAGCCGGTTCGTTACATTCCATCTCCGCAACCCCGAAGCTTTCTGATCGGCCCAAGAGCATCCCGGGCTGGAGCTTGAACAGGTCCAGGTCGCCGGCACCGAAGGACCAGGATCCTGAGACTTACTGTTAGTAGGGAATGGGGGAATGGGGTACCCTATATACTCCCTTAAAGGGTGTATATAGGGCCCCAACTCCCTCATGAGGGGATTTCAAGGCTGAGGTCGTATAGGAGGGGCTTGTGCCGGAAGAAGCTGAGATTCTCTAACAGACTACGATGCAAAGAGAGCTGGGAGTACCCTTAAACCCTTCAGTTCGACCCGGAGGGTCCCAGAAAGATCCATAGGATTGGGAATAGAACTTCGGGGAGAAAATGTTCCGGTGCTCTGTAGTCTCCTCGTGGGGTTGCCGTGGTAGAGTATATTGTGATGATCGGTAATGGAACATGCGAAAGAACAGACGACTGTGCTCTTGTACAGTATACTGCTACTAGGACTGCTATCGATTTGGACCGGGGTCAGCAAAGCCAACGCCAACCGTGCAGGGTTCGGGGTTTAAGGTTTCGGGGTTTAGGTCTCAGCAGTTCAGGGTTTAGTGATTAAGGTGTAGGGGTTCTGGCTTCTTCAGAGGATGCAGTCAATCTTTGGCTTCGGGGCGATGTTCTAGTATATGCGATTCACAAAGATGGACATGCCGTGGTGTGAACATTCAGTGCGTCCAGGTCTACTCAGTCTACTCTGCGCCGAAAACATCGTCTGCAATCGTTCTAGTACTGATCTGCTAAACCCAACGATTGCAAGACATTGGGTACTCCCCCCATACAGTAAAAGGCCATTATGGGGCAGGGCTTTGTTTTGTCTCTATCATATGAACTGTTACTCAACTGTTTCTGAGTGGCGGTGCCCGAACAAGACACACTTTGCTACAGAACCTGCCAGGTCGCCGTTGGGGAAAGCAACCTTGAATTTGCCCTTCTCCAAGTTGAGGTGCTCGATTTGCCCCACGTCTCCTTGCAAAGAGTGGCAGATATGTCTGTGCTAAAACAGCGGGTCTCACCATTTGTACGATGGTAGAACATAGCATACCCTCAACCCCCTAAACCCTAAACCCTAAACCCTAAACCCTAAACCCTAAACCTTCAGTACATACCGGTCCATGGCTGCGGCCCGGAGAGCTTGGGGGGGCAACCCGAGGCGTGGGGGGGTCTAAGCATACCCTAAACCCCCTGAACCCGAAACCCGAAACCCGAAACCCTAAACCCTAAACCCTAAACCCTAAACCCTAAACCCTAAACCCTAATGACAACCCTGGGCCTTTCTTCACGTCGTCGTCGTGCTTCAACCAGGTGACGAGGGAGTGCTTCTGCATCTCATACAAAATGAGCTCCTGGGCCAACTCCCGTCCCACCACAAAGTACAGCATATATTCATATATACACATATATATATATGTGTATCTAAGTACATATACATATTTGTATGTGATTTATATAGATGCATACAGGGATGATTTTAGACGCAGAGCCGATCTCAGATGTCTGGATGCCGGGACGCTTCGGGCCGAAACCGGCCAGCATCTTTGGCAAACTGGACCTTGACCTACAGAGGGATTCGACATCTGAGAGAGAACCACCTGGTCAGTTCTCAACATGTTTGTCCTTTTTGGGGTGGCCTAAAAAACCAGGGGCCGCCTAAAAATCAGGACCCCAAAGGGACCATATTTTAGAGAAGTGACCATCTGGACGGGAGTCCGTTCCATGGAATGCGCAGAATTCTGTGGGCAGTTCTCCTTAAGGGGAGGGTATAAGTATACAGGGATTTGGAAGCTTCGGAAGATTTGTAGCCATGTGGTCGGGAACGGGCACAGGGTTAGATAACCTTCTTGGGTGGCACCTCTGAGGTCTACGAGGCTACATACCCGGTGATCCTACAGAACACCCTTGCCTTGTAGAAGGCTGCAGTATACCATTGCGTATTGCGTACTACGGGGCAACACCATAGCGTTTAGGCCAGAATACCGGAGTATAGGTTCTTGAAGGTATGAAGCTCCCACAAGAAGTGTACTCACAAGTCGGGGCGACAAAGCTTGTCAAGAACGTCTGGGGTCTGGTAAAGTCTAGGGGGTGTGGTTTGCAGTTTGGGATTGGGCTTCTCCGAGTTAGTAGCCTGCACAACAAGGTCGAAACGGACCTCTGCAACATCCCCAGTGCACCACAGGCTATGAGCGCTGCAGCCGGAAACCCTAGACCCCAATGGAATACTTCCATGTTTATCGAACTCAGCTGGGAAGACTTGAAAGGCAGAAGCTATTAAATCTGATTCCTTGACTCTACACTGTGCACCCTAAACCCTATAATGCCTAAACTGCCTAAACACCCCAAGCATGGGGGTTCCTGAAAGTTCGGAAGAACCTACAACATCGGGCGGTTACAAGGGTATTATGGCAGTCCTCAGTAGGTATGCAGGGATGATTTTGACACGTTCAAGCATGGCTTCTAGAGAGATCCCACGGCCTTGCCCTCCTCATCCAAGCTGCCAGTCACCTCCCAAGCTACACCTATAGCCTTCTAGAGTTGTAGCTTGGGATCTTCCCCCTTAATACTACCAGTCCTCAACAGGGATTCTAGTACCCCCTATTAAATTCCCACTAAGAGCTGTTGGTATAAGGGGGAAGCTCGGGCAGTTTTGGATCCGGGAGCCCATCACTTGCGAACCGCAGTTGTCGGTAAGGGCCTGGGTTTAGGTTTTTTTTTTGCCACCCGCCTAGCTGACACTCAGGCCACGTTGCAGGGTTTAGGGTTCAGGGTTTAGGGTTTATGGCATCAGCTTCTCATGGCCTTGAGCTCATGGCTAAAGAGCCGGAAGGCCCTCGGCTTCTGTGGCCTCGAGCAGACCTCCCCGTACCCTACCGGTAGGTCCTATTCCCATGCCCGTAAGCAAAGCCTGTCCCAGCTCTCCCGCTGCGATGTCATCGCTGGAAGAAGTCCACTGCACGACGGCTCCTGGCTGAATGTGACCGCACACCTTAGGCTCAGGACATTGCGGGGGGACAGCTTGGATCCCTGACGTTCTACAGGCCACCATAGACGAGCACATCCTACAATCGTATGCTGTAGAGTATAAGTATATAAGTTGTATAAGTGTGCATAAACTTTGGGTTTGTTTGGCTTTGCGGGGAAAAATATACGTGGAGTTTCGAAGCTTCCTAGGGCAGCTGAAGGAACGAACGACTTTTATCGGGTCTTGAACCATGACTCCTTACTTAGAGAGGCAAGGGAAGACGGTACAGAAAAAAAACTTCTTGTCGACCCCATCGACCATGAGACCCCTAAATCCCAAACCCTAAACTTCCCCTAGAAACCATGAAAACACCCCCATAACTCCTGAAAGCCCTCCGCTCCCATAGCTCTTAGGAAAAACCCAACACCTTCAGCTGCCAGCTCTGCCTGCTCCTCAGTTTCTGCCCGAGACCCAAACATTCCGAATCCCTCACGCCCAGAACTTACAATGCTATCAAGGTATGAGAGCACCTTACCATAGAAGCTCGAATCTACTATGGTGTGCTCTGGTACGTAGTATGTATATAGCATACAGTGTACTGTAGTATGTTGGAGTACAAAAGTAGAGTTGTATAGCACAGCTGAAAAAAACCTTCGCAAACACGAGGCGAGGCGCCAAATGGGAGGGTCTGAAGCGCCAGCGACCGTTGGGAAAGCTCACCTTCACCTTTCCTTCGTCGTTGATGTCCTCCAGGACCTGTCTTCGGGTTTAGGGTTTAGGGTGGACTGGGGATGATGGTTTACAAGTGGGATGTTGCGTCTTGGCTCTGGCGTTTTTGAAGCGTCCAGACTACAACCCTAAGCCCTTGGCCCGAAACGGTGCCCTGGTATTGAATGCTTGTCTTGGGGGGGGGATTTGACCTTTATTGGACCCTTAAACCCTTAACGGATGGCAAGGCACCAAGGGGTTTCGTTGTTGCGGCTTTCGAGTCCAAGGCAAAACTACAGCCAATAGGATAGCCCTACAAAGCCCCATACATAGTTCTACTACCACATACGCCCCAACACCGTGGACTCCCACTTCGGCACCCTTCTGCACGGCGTTTTGAGGGGTGCCCCATGAATCCTAAACCCTAAAGGAATTGTGAACGGGGCCTCGCCCATGTGCCCCGCAGGAATGTCGTCGTCGGACTTGATCCAGAAGACCTGGGTAAAGAAGGTTCAACCCTAAACTCTAAACCCCAAACGAAAACCCTAAACCCCAAACCCTAAGCTCACAGCTTGGAGCCATTCGGGTTTAGGGTTTAGGAAGCGTTAAGGGGCTTTCTCGGCTACGTGCTTCCAGAGTACCCAAGAAGTCAAAAGTTCTCAATCTCAAGTCCGCTCATAAAGACGTAGACCTCAACTCCCTGTTTGACAAGATCGCAAAAACCTCTCAGCCAGAGAGCATACATGCCCGGCTGAAAATCGCATCTCAACAGGTGCTTCGGCTTCTCCTTCACCTCCAAAAGGCATGTGGTCACCCGGAAGTGTGATGGAAGTCTCGTGAAGCTTTACAGGCGCAGTTTAGGGGCATACTCATTGTACTTCTGTAGGCCGCTAGAGGAAGATCAGTGATATAGGGCAAGGTAGATGTGAGGTTTCGGGGCCGAAGCTTGGGGGAAAGCCTTTCAAGTATAGTTGTCTTCTACAGTAACCCCTACGCCATGACCTCGTGAAGTCTCGCAATGTAGGCTTCGGAAGTGATGCATCATGGTCCACCGAATTTCGGAGGGAGGGCTACGGGAACCGGCGCCTTCTCGCCCTTGATCTCCAGGATCAGCTTTCCGTCCTCCAGGTCTTTCACCTCGGAAGTCCAATTCCAGAGGTTTAGGGCTTCGTGAGGAAAGAGGATGGTCGAAGGCGTGTGCTGCTTTCTCGGATTCTCGCCCTGTGGCTACTCGCAAAAGGCTTGTCGGGTCGGAATGGCACCAGCAAGAGCTTACAAAGCAAAGGCAGCTGCCATGAGCGTGGGAAAGGGAAACCCCCTAAACCGTAAACCCTAAACCCTAAACCCTAAGCCCCTAAGCCCCGAAGCCCCGAAGCCCCGAGCTGCGGCCCGTTGAACCTCACCCACGGTGTCGAAGTCATAGTCGTCGCTCGTGGAGTGCACGAAAGTACCCTTCTGAAAGTCGCAGACATTGAGCCTCAAAGGCGTCTACTAGTAGGAGGCGTGTCTTTTCAAACAAGCTTGCCGTGTATTTTATGCTATTGTTGTTATCTCTTACTTGCTTTTTTTTTGGGGGGGGGAGTCATTGGCGGAAGCAGCTTCATCATCTGTCGTCTAATCTGACGGTCCTGCTTTAGAAAAAAGGACCGCCTCCGAAGAACTCTCGTGACAAGAAAGTAAAAAGACCGATAGAAGCGTCTCTGCACAGTGGCAGTGGCAGTGGCAAGCAAACCACAATCGGCTCAAATACGACTCAGTGGCAGCATACCCGGCCATCTACTAAGTCTACTAATCACGCTTAAGGCACGGAACTCCAAATCCTGGACCCAGCTTCCTAAACCCTCAAAGCAAAAAATCTCAAATCCTCAAACCTGAAACCCCTGGGCTCTGATCTCAGCTGGGGAACTTCTCAGGGGCGAATTTCCATGTTCCATTTGGAAACCTCGGCATACGCAGTGTGTATACCGGACTACAGAGCTGTGTCCATGCAATTTCTTCAACTGCTAGATATTACACAATACACTACACACTGTACAATATACCAAATATCTTAGCGATGTCTCGTGTGCAACCCAAAGCCGAAGAAGAACCCTCTACCTCCGACAAAAAAATGGCACAAAAAAGAAGGGACGCCCTCGGGAACCGAGACACTTGACCATCCTGTCTCCGTTGGTCTTTTGTTCCACAATCTGCCCAGGGGAAAGCGAAGCTCCAGGCTTTTGGGACTCGCATTTTTGGAAGTCTGTGGGGTTGCTGTGATGCTTATCACGGTTCCTTTGTGTGGCTTAGGGCTTGCTGCGGGCGACCCACACTACGAGCGTCGATGAGTACTGGTATTCATGGTACATCGTGCGGCCAACATCTACAGCAACTGCAGAAACACAGAAAACACGCAGTAAACGCAGTATCTCCTGTGCGAACTTCTAGTGCTCTGGGAAGCTGCCAGACCAAGCCGACAGTTCCCGGAAAACTGCATGAGAAACCGACAAACCCACAAGAAGGACGTTTCCAAAGCCCAAAGTACCCTACCCTGAGTTCACAATACAGAAAAGCCCGAAACCCGAAAAACCCGAAACACCCTCAACCAAACCCTCACAAAAACCCGCCTCGAAAGGCCCCTAAACCCTAAACCCTAAACCCTTTTTCCATCGAGGCTGGGTGGGGAATGCCAGAAACAAGCAGCTGCTTGCACAACCTGATCCCTAAACCCTAAACCCTAAACCCTAAACCCCCAACCCCCTAAACCCCCAAACCGGTTGAAAAAAAGGCCTCTCCAAGATGTCCTCTCGGGACGTCATCGTCCTGTGAGATCCAGTAGACCTCGAGGGGAGCTAAGGCCCTTAACCGGGTTTAGGGTTTAGGGTTTAGGGTGTTTGTAGGAGGAAAAAACAGGCGGTCTCTAGGTATTATAGGGTTGATGGAATCTTGATGAGCAAATGACAGTCTCATCTTTTCCGGATGAATTCCTTAGCACAATTCAGGAGCTTGACAAGGGCCTTGCACCGCGGCAGCCTGTTAGGACCTAAGATCATCACCCACAACAGAACGTGATTGCATGCCTAGTCGTTCGGAGTCTATCGAACGACTGCAACTTCTTTCTACAAACTCTGGCAGCTGCCCCTCTCATCCAATCCAATTTCCGAAAACACCCCCAAGCTGTGGACCTTTCAAGGCGCGCCCCTGTAGGGGCTATTGGAGGGCTTCTGGGTGTTCGAAATTGTTGACTTTAGAGGCTTTGGGGTATAGCTGCTTAGCTTTGGCTTGGGGCGAGAAGTTTGGGTGTTCGGGGCCATCAAGTTTTCGACTTGCAGGGTTTGAGGGGGCCTGGTTTTGTTTGGGGATTTCGGGTAGAAGGACAAGCTTCCCGGGCTTTGAGCTCAACACGATGCTATATAGGGTGAGGTTGGATCCCTGAACCCAGAACTTATGCCCATAACCTTACTGAGGGCTCGCAGGCTGTGTTCGTGCAAAGGGCATATTTGCCCTCTGTCATGTTCTCAGCATCGTCGGACTCCATCATAACTGCTGCGAGTGTCAACACGCCCGTGCACCTGAGCTGGGCAGGCTTTCAACTCTACAGCTTGCGTCACAGGATAAATGGGAGTTTACAAAAAGAAGGGACCCCTAACATCATCCCCCAAATAATAGGATTCCCTCATAATAAGGACCCCAATAAGGTAACCCTAATATCGCAAACCCCCAAATGTATAGTCAGGCAAAATCACCCCTAACCCCTAACCCCTAAACCAAAACTACCACATGAAGGGGCAGCAACTTGGGGAACTCGGGGTGCCCAGTCAACGTTCCCTTATAAGGGAGCTTAGGGGTTTTTCGGGCTTAGGGTTTAGGGTTTAGGGTTTAGGGTTTAGGGCTACCCATCTATGGCGGGGAATAAGATTAAGGGCCCCTTCTAGGGGTCCATCCTTGTCCTTGTACCCCTGAGACCAAGGCACGCAGCAGCCGGATCCTGGACGAAGAGCTTTGCTAAGCCCAAGAACCGACATGCTGCGGAGAATCAGGTGGTAAGTGGGTACTTGCCGCGATTCAAGAAATATTCTCGTGGCAAGCATAGCATTCCCGGATTCTGAGAATACTCATGAATCATATCGATCGAATGGTACTCGTGTTGTCGGCTGATCACTCATGATTGGTCTAATCTCTTCAAGCCTCAGGGTTTTGGAGAAATGTAGGATCGATGGCGACCCTCGAGTTCAACATGCTCATGTGAAGATGACATAGTGCCGTCACGGTCGTTCAGCTGGACATGCACAGTGTGAACACATCAAGAGTAGGTTCCAAGTCCTCCTCCAAGGCAAATCGGAGCGCGGAAGTGCACGGCCCTTTTCTACCACCAACTCAACAAACCCACGGGCCGGTAGTCAAATCCAAGCCAGGAACATCAACCCAAGACCCGGCAGTCAGCTCGGAAACGTTCCAAAAAAACGGAACCGTACATCCCACATCTCTTTGGAAACTGGACGTGGAAGCGATACTGTTGATAATGCCTATAGGGCTTGTGCACAATGTATGCCGAAGCATGTCCTCCCATCACAGTAGCCACCATTCTCCGCTTCCAGCTGGTCATGCTGCATCTCTCCCCCAACAAGTGCGTGTACTATGGGAGGAACTCTTGCAGCTCACTGTGTTGAAGCCGACAAGGTTCGCGCACAGAGGGTTGAAAGACAGATCCTCCAACTGGTTGGCGCCTGAGAAGAGGCTTTCACTCGCGACGCTTGACACGTCTCGGTCAAATCTGTCGGTCAAATTCGGTTCCGAAACAGAAACATTTCGGTCAAAACGTTGGGTCAAAACGTAAAACGTCCCGGGAGCCTACCAACAGACCCCTGGCAGGCCCTCAAAAGCCCCAGAATGCCGGAAAGATCTCTGGGAAGCCCCCAAGGCCCGGGAGACTTCTCAAGGCCTCGGGACTACACAAAATTTCGAGAATTTCAAAGTAATAATTACTTGCATCATTTTCCGATTTGAAGTTCAATTTCCGGCCGCGGATTTTCAATACTCTTGAGAACCAGCCCCAAGATGTCATGTTTGAAAGATGAAACCCTCTCACCGGGGGCCATGTTTCGTTCACAGGAAGCCATGGAACTCAATGATTGTAATTTCGTTGAACATGGGTCGCTTCTTTCGGTAAAAGCAAGTCGTTGAACATGTTTCATTGAAAACGTTCTTGGTGCCCAAACCCCTGAGAAAGAAAACGCACAGCTTTGGGAAACCCTATATTAAATTCTATAAACCCTAAACCCGAACCCACTCCAAACCCTGAAGCCACGCGCCCCAAATCGGAAATCGCGCTAAACTGGCGCCTACAGGCCACGGCATTGAAAAACAACACTCAGACCAGAAACTCGAGAAGTCTTCATCCCCAACCCAAAAGCATGCATCCCACGTGAAAGCCCTCCATGACAAGCTGTTGTGCGAGCCCCGTGCACAGTTGGAGTTCTGAGCAGCAAGACGGTGAGGTGGCTGGGTATATTGCCTGTATATTCACATATCCTAGCATTCTTGCGCATCCCTGTTTAGCCAACCCTCAGGTGAAGCTTGTTTAAGGCTCCCTGGGCTGCAATCTCGATCTATATATATATATACATATATATATATATATCTATATATATATATACACATAAATATCTATACATATATATATATATACACATATACATATACATATATATACATATATATATGTATACATGTATATATATATATATATATTTATATATACATATTGCTATGACTTGTGTTCACAGCGATCTGAGACGGTGTTCAGACATTGTGCGGGGCGTGCACTGGAGCACCACTGTTGGTTTCTCTGTTCTACGCGATGGCAGATGTGCAACAAAAGCACAGAACCCTAAACCCTAAACCCTAAACCCTAAACCCTAAACCCTAAACCCTAAAAGCCTGCAGGGCGGAGTCTTTTGCGCTCAAAGCTGCCAGATCTTGGCCCGATCCTGGCCCGATCGAACACGTTGGAGCTGTGCATCGCCGGGCTGTTGAAAAAAGCCCCAACGCAGCTACAGCTCTCATGGCCACGAGACGACTAGACATATGGCACCGCATCTTGTTTTCTGTAAGTCCAAGCGACCCCATGTAATGTCTCTCTGTCCTAAGCCTCCTTCAACTTGGGCCTGGTTGGGCTTCTTCGGGGCTCTTGGAATGACCGAATAGCGGATTTTTGCATGTGCAAGGGTCCTCAGGGGCCTATACCGCCCCGCTTGCCCAGCTTGCGTACACTTGCGCACAGTTATAGCCTTCACGGATGAAATGCACTGGTGGCTGAAGACCGTAAAGGCAGGACATGCAGACGAAAACTACAGGAAGTGGTTGCAGAAGGCCGGCGATATGTTTTGTACACATGACTCAGATGGCAGTTCTGATGTTGACACAGAAAAATTTCTATCGGCCGAGCAACTACCGCAACTACTCCTTGTCATCGGATGCCGGAGGGGAATTGCCTTGGCGATTTCCGATACTGCGATCATACTGTGCAGGTGTCGTCACTTAAGTCGAGACTCATGGTCTGCATATTGTATTCTAATCGGAAATCCCAAATACATCTTTGTCCACTGGTCACATTCACACGGCCAAAGCCGGTCGAATGAACCTCAACAGTCATCCTAGGACCTAGAACCTGCAATTGGATGCATTCCCCCAGGCAAGTACGTCGGGTGCTTCAAAGACATCTCCTGAAACAAACACACCCTCGTTAAATCTTCGCAGACAACTCTGAGAGCTGCTTCAACCCTCAACCCTAAACCTTACACGTAAACCCTAAACCCTAAACTGCTTACCTAGGGGAAATGCCTAGGCGTGCCTGCTCAGCGCTGTAAAGCCTATACCGCTGGCTCGGCAATGCGCACGTCTGGGGAGTTGCTCTACAAAAGGGTCCCCTTAAGTTTGGCGCGCCCCGGAAAGAGCGGGGGTCCGTAAAAAGGACACCCCAAAAGAGAGGACCCATTTGATAGAAACATCCCGTCTTCATGTGCACACATGTGGTCTCTGCGAGCAGTCACGGCTCCCTTCTCGTAGCCGCCAAAGCTGACAGAGCTCGGTACCTTCACATACCCTCATCATGCACTGGAGCCCAGAAGACATCTTAGAACGACACTGAGCCCCTAGTGTTTGCGTGTGAGAATCTCAGCATTGAGAGAACGATGTGGAAAAATCAGTGCTTCCAGGCTCCAGGCGAAGCATGGCGAAGTGAGAACGAATTATCCCACGCGGCAGGAAACCGGCAGGGCAAAAATGCTCTGAGAGCTCTTCAAATAAGACGTCACAGGAATCCCAAGCCTTCCCGTTTTTCTGAAGGAGGACGACTCGAGACCACTGGGAAGACTTACTATCTATGCAGGCTGCGGCGCACGTCTCAACCTGCATGGGCAGGGTAGGCTGTCGCTTGCAGAGGCTGCAGACGATCAGAAGGGGGCAATCCTAAATGTCTTGGAAGCAGCAAACCACACCACGACCTGTAGAGCATATGTCGAGCCTTCCACCATGGACCCAAGCCAAACCTGAAAACAGCTTCAACACAACAGCCCGAATCAGTTGCTGATTGTCTCAACTCGTGCCTTGATCTAGGCCTCCGCCCCCAGGTAGCGGAGGCAGACATACCCGGATGCCTGTGGCTACCATTTGACATCTTTTGAAGAAGGACTTTGGAGTCAGGGGGGTTGAGGTTTTAAAATATCCCGGGGGGGGCCCTGCGTAAAATGGCGAGGGTTCAAGCGAGAGCCCTAGAATAGCGATCTATCTTCAAGAGTTGAGTGCTGTGGGTTTGCCGAGCCGCTAACTCGACTTGAACCTAAACCTCCTGTCAAACCAACTGAAAAAGTGTGGAGGCTAGCTAGAGTTGGCGCTTCTGGAACGCATGGAGGTCTCGGCGTATATGCCTCTACGCTGTGCAAGCCACTATCACACATGGAGTTGCGGCCCATGAGCTGTCACTCTGAGGGGGCCGTGGCACGAGCAGAGGAAGGGAAGGAGAATCACTCTCACACAGCAAGCCCTGGGCGGTCATAGAAGCAGCTGGCAGGAGCCGAAGCAGTCACCCTAAACCCCAAAACCATAAAACCCTAAACCCTAAGTCCCTAAGTCCCTATAAACCCCCAAAACTCCCCCCTTAAACCCCCTAAACCCCCTAAGCCCAGCAAACGGGAAGACTCGGAAGACTCGGGGGCCTCCCGGGAGGCCTCGATGCCCTCTGCACGGGTCCAAATCTCGCAGCGGCCCCCGGTGTGGTACTCGAGGCCCTGACCTCAGAGACTCTTATGGGTTTAAGGGAAGTTAGGGTTATAGGGTTTAGGGTTTATAGGGTTTATAGGGTTTAGGGTTTATAGGGTTTATAGGGTTTACAGGGTTTACAGGGTTTATAGGGTTTATAGGGTTTGGGGTCTCGGGGGAGTTGCATAGTCCCCTTAGTATGGGCCGTTAAAGGCGGACCCGCTTCTATGGAGGGCGGGACTTTGCTGAACGCGGGGCAAATCCGTCTTCGGGTGTCCCTAAACCCTAAACCCTAAACCCTAAACCCTAAACCCTAAACCCTAAACCCTAAACCCTAAACCCTAAACCCTAAACCCTGTGCTTTCGGCTTCCCCAGCTCTTCGCCAAGGCGTGGAAATGCTGATTGTGTTCAATCATACACGGGTGGTTGTCAAAATGGTGGTCCCTTTTTGGACCCCTATATATAGCACGGCACCTACTATTTTAGGGTACCCCAAAAGGGATCATAATTTTGGCAACCACCCACATGAGAACAGCCCTGACGTCGACCTGGCAGACGCATCCGGCAGTCCCTAGAGTGGAGTTGGACTTCACACGTGCCAGAACTCCGGGGTGCTCGTCGTTGGGGGAAAGAAGCAATTTCACCGCACGATCCAAAAAAGAGTGCTGGTCTCCCGAGAAAGTGGCAGACTTCTGCCTCCATGCACTTGAACTTGCATCCTTCCAAAGAGCTGGCCTGAGAGCACAGGGTGCCGTGGGGGGCCCTGAATGAAGAGAGAACACAGGAGTGAAAGCCTATCGTCGCCTATCGTATACTACATTATTTGGGATGTTCCCCCCCTATACTAAGAGTCCTTAATGAGTATTGTCACCGGGGGTACTATAACCCTTGAAGGACGGTTAGAATAAGGGGGAACCCTTAAAATATTCGAGTATAGTACAAGTCTACTGTAGTATGCATCCTCCTTTTTGTTGCGTGGCTGCTGGTCCGTGCCTGTTCGACAGTGAAGTAGCTGGCCCGGTTGTCGTTGGGATGGGCGCCCCGGCAGACACGGCCCTCGCCCCCGTCGACGGCCTCAAAGATGCCCTGAGGAGTGGGCATGCCTTGGTTTGAAGCACTGGGACCGTCGGAAGTCATTTTCAGTATTATCCTCATCATTAATATTATTGTGATTATTATTGTTCCGATTATTATTTTTTAGTATCAATTATTTAATTTGTTACCATCACTACTTTTACAGCGGCGTCTTCTCCCCATGCCGGATTGCTGTAGCTAAGGCAGGTGTAGTTCACGAGCGAGATGGAGGCATGGATTCCCTCCGGCCGCGTCCAGATCTCGCAGCGGCCGCGCACCTTGGCTGCAAAAGCGTATACCCTTCAGTGCGCAAAAGCGAAGTAGTTTCGGGACTGCGAAGGAAGCCTATAAGCAAGCAACGGACACTTGCAAAACCAACAAGAAAATAGGGAATAAGAGGGCAGAGACGTCGTGCAGTGCCAAGGAACGTGATATTCGATACCCGTGCAACCGTCGGTTGCCATGCACTGCGACTGGCAGCCCTGGCTTCACGAAGAAAAACTGCAAGTCCGACATGCGATGGTGCGGCTGACTACCCTGAAAGTGGCGGATCCTGCATGTACTTGGCTGAAGGTGGCCACATGACCGCTACGGTTTTTCTTTCATTCAAGTGTGTATGGCCCGAAAGCTCGCGAGCCTCCAGAGTTGCATCATGGCTGACCTCGCAGCTTGCACGTCTTAACAAATGTGAGAGGGCATTGTCGGCACAAAATGACTGACAGCAGCGGTACGATACAGAAACATAGTACTATAAATCTCGCGCCTGAAAATAGCTCGCCGAATTGTCGCCCGGGGAGGCACCGCGGCAGGCGCGGTTCTGCCCTCGGCGTGGGGCTCTGCTTCCCGAGCGAAGTCTTGAATCACGAACGACAACCCTGTGCGTGCGTTCTGCCTCCCGTCTCTACGACCTCGTGCTCTCCTAAGATCTCTTTGTGCCATCTTCCGAAAGCTCCCTGCTCTAATCGCTGTGTGATCTTGCTCGCAGGTATCCTGGGTCTTGTGCTGGTCTCCTTGTGGTCTCTTATAGTAGGTTCCTCAGATCTCCTTGAGATCTCTCCTTGTGGCTTCTGAAAGGGGTCTCCTGCTCGTGTGTTCTAGAATTCATGGCAAAGACTCAGAGCTGCGGAGCCTGGGTCGTAAGATTCATACAATAGCTCTCCAAAAAGTTGGAACATGGTTTAAGGATGACTAGAGCTGGGCATTCCCTTGAATTTTCCTTGTGAGGTAGGAGGATAAGGATGTTCCAACTTTTTGGAGTTACTGTAAGAGACCCTCAGGGAAGGGATGGTTAGGGTCGAGTGGGCCATGTGGCCACTCACTCTTTGGAGACTACGCTGGCCATTCTTACTACGAGCATTGCTATTTCAATTACTAGTCCCGTTTCTATTCTTATTACTATTTCTACTCTTGCTATTAAACAAAAAACACGAATAGTCATAAACAATACTAACAATACAATCATAACAATAATATTAAACATAATCACCATGATAATTTTTATTTTTGCTATTACTGTTGCACGGCTCTCAGGAAGAAGTCGTATCCCCAGTTCCAGCCTCCGTCCACGGGGCGAAAGGTGTGCGAAGAGCCAGGAGCTGTTGTGGTCGTCGTCGTCATCGCTGTCGTCGTTGTGGTCGTCGTGCTCGTTGTGGTCGTCGTGGTCGTAGTCGTTGTGGTCGTAGTCGTTGTGGTCGTGGTCGTTGTGGTCGTGGTCGTAGTCGTAGTCGTTGTGGTCGTTGTTGCTGTTGTGGTGACAGGGCCTGTGATGGACAGCAAGATCTGAGAAAGCCCTGGACGGGCTTGCCTATGGCACATTATGGCACACGCAGGCCACATCATGTCCAGCTTAGCCGCAAGTGTCACTTTCTGAAAAATTACGAGGGGCCGTGACTGGGGTTGGGGCTAGCTGGGTCAAAACACCCTCTTCTTGCCCACCCGTTGCACCTGTATAACGAAGGCAGGTGTAGCCTGAGAGAGCCTTCGTGGCGCCGATGCCGCTGGCGCGGATCCAGACTTCGCACTTGCGAGAGCCCTCAGAAGAATCTGGGTAGAACGGTTTAGGGTTCAGGGTTTAGGGTTTAGACTACTAGGATCAAGCCGTTTACCTTGAACCCACCATGGAGATCACGCAGGTGCTATGGGTTCCGATTGTTGAACATGAATGCGCTGCAAATCTCAAGTCCGCCGAGGGTCATACTCAATGCCCTTGCAGCCGTCGGTACCGATGCACAGCTGCTTGCACTCATCGATCGAGTCAACGCCATTGTGAAAGATGTAGTAGCCTCAGATCGAAGATGCATCCGAGTAAGCTTCGCCCACCGAGGGGCTGAGAAGAGTATGTCGTGGCAACCATGCCAAGTTTAGGGTTTAGGGTTTAGGGTTTAGGAACCCTGACTCACAATTCTGTTTCTTATAACAGCAGGCAGACGACGCATATGCCTGCCCAGGAGCTCGCGTCATTGTCGTTGGAGTTGGCGCCGCGGCAGACCACATTCTCACCTTGGCTGCCGGAGTCAAATACTGAGAGCCCAGAAATTGTGGACGGAATTTGGGGCCTACCTCAGCTTAACGAGTTTCCCTCATAGAGCCGCCTGCCTCCATCCACCGGAACGAAGCTCCCCGGCGCAGCCTTAGAACAAGTCACTCATGGCTCAGAGGCCGAGAGACCAAGACAAGACGACCTCTCTGGAGGCCTTTGCTGGCTGTTGAGATACTCCGAGGGCCCAGCCGTCATCGTTGTTGTGGTCGTCACTGCAACAGTCGTTGTTGTTGTAGTCGCCTCCGTTGTCGTCGGCATCGTAGTGGCTGCCGTCGTAGTGGCAGTGGTGGTAGTGGTGGCAGTGGTGGCAGTGGTGGCGGTGGTGGCAGTGGTGGCAGTGGTGGTACCTGCGGCCACTCGCTCAGGACATTGCGCTCTGCGGAAAGACGCAGTCGGACAGTTTAGGACTGCAGGGGCCTGGTGTCGTTGTCGCAGGCTGTGTGGTTTGCCCCAGGATGTTGCAGCTCCTTGGCTCGCGGGGGCACAGGGGTAGCTGCGCAGCTCTACCTCCCCGCTCTCGAGTTGCAAGTCTTTGACAACGTCAACGCCTCTCACCTCTCTCCGCTCTGCCATGCGCCGCTGCCTCATGCCAGACGCCCTCTGAAGGCAAACAGCCCGAGCTCTGGGACACTTGCAGGGGCTGCCCCTGGTTTTCTTGCCGGGATTCCACGGAGTCTGATACTCTGGCGCGTCGTTTGGGCTGATGCCTTCAGAACGAGGCACACAGGATCTGTGGGCACATGCCGCTCCTTTATGCGAAGAAGATGCGGACGGCAGACTCCACCCTCAACTTTTGAAGGGAGAGGGCTGCCATGGCACGAGTTAAAATCGAGACACGTACAAGATGATGATGCAGCACGCCTGCTGAGCTGCACAGATTCGCCTTCTTGCGATCTGGTGGCACGAGCAGTACTGGTGAAAGATCAAAACCCCCACTAGTCACAGCAATATGCACCCAAGGACAGTGGCCTTGGCAACCGAAATGCAGCAGAACCCCAGTCCGGGACAGTCAGAATCAATGGGAACTGTCTTGCCTACCGAAATAATTCTTGTACCAAGGAACATAATATTGAGAAGCAGGCTTTGAACGAAACAAACAAATCTGTCCTGGCCTGGCGTGCAACTTTGCCGGCACTGCGCATAGTACTGGTCCTTCTCGTAGCATGTCCAGCCATTGGACTTGCAGCAAAGGCTCCTTACGTGGATGAGATATGCCAGTCTTTAGGGTCACAACGCTTCAAGGGCAATAGGGCGGCCGCTTTCGGATGTTAACATCTCACGGCATCCGTATCCACAGTAGCGGCTGGGTCCAGTGTCCACATGGATCAGGCGAGCGTCGTCTTGCAGCCTGTCAAAAAAACATGGTTGCAAGTCGATTCGGCTTTGAGGCTGGGGAAGCTGAGGGCAGTGACACTCAGGGAAGCCTGCAGCTTGAGACTAGTGTGCTTGCATGGCAGGCTCGCAAATGGCAGAGATGTTGATTGATGTCGCTTCAGAAGGGTTACACACCAAAATCACACCAAGCCCCCCCCCATCAGGCCTCCCCAATCGTCGCTGCAGCCACTCACATCTCTGGAAGTTGTCGGGACTTCAGTCGTGCGGGACCACCTCAAAGGCTCTTTATTTCGCCTCTTCTCTCCCTCTCTCCTCTCTCTCTCTCTCTCGACATGTGCTGAAGAAAGGAAGAAAAAGAAGGCCTCCTTTTCACCTCAACCTGAGGTTCAGCGCACCCCCAATCCTGGCCACGCCGGGCTCAACCTAAATGCTCTTCGCAATCGTCGAGAAAATCCCCCACTGTGCTTCCAAAATGCTCGGTCGTCGATTGGAAGGGCGTGGTCGAGATGGTGCTTCCATCCAGCGGCCTAGCTTTTGAGATGGGAGGTAAAGCAGCCCCTTGCGTTTCAAGCCTCTTGTTCTCTTTGGCTGGCAAGAAAAGGCAGGGCATCAAGCCAAAGGCACAACAAACTCAGGCTCCCGTCGGGTTTCCGGGTGGCAAGGTCTAGGTGCTCCGAGCCAGGTGCTCTAGTTACCTTGTCGCCACCACAATTACCGTATGATTCTTAAGGCCCCTACCAGGATGGGCCCTGATACCCTATAACTCCTTTAAAAGGCCCGTCATAGGGTTGACGATGAGGATTATACGGCCTAATAGCCCCTCCTGGTAAGGGGCTTGCTTCACTCGATAGGCAAAGAGTGCAAACGAACCCCAAACCCTGAAATCTGAACTGAACTGAAACCAGGTCGCGCAGGCAGCTGGAGCGCACCAACACTTCCCGACCGGCTGCTCGAGATCTTGTAGCGAAGGCCCTCAACGGCACACTTTCTGTGGTTAGCAGGGAATGGGGGGAATAAGGCACCACATATATATATATATTTCTCCCCTATATACCCTTAAGGGATTGTATATGGTACCCTATTCCCCAATCCCTACAAACCAACAGTAAAGCACAGGAGGCTTCCCAGGGTCTCTATTTGAGGGTTTACGAGACTAAGGGACCCCCAATATAGAGTAAGGACCACCCCAATAAGGTACCCCGAGTTTCGTTTGGGCTGCGGGTCTGGGGTCTACGGATTAGGGTGTGGTCTGAAGCTCAAACTTCCTCTCCGTTTTGAGGTTCAAGCGGAAGGAGCTTCCGGGTTCGCAAAGCGCAGGCTTCATCCAAAGGCTTAGTTTTTTGGAGCGTCTTTCAACTTGAAACCTGTTATCGCAAAGGCCAATCCTAGACAGACAAACTTCGCAACCCGAAAGCCCTGAACCCCAAGCCGAGAAGGCCCTGCCCACTTTGAGCCCCTGAACCGTTCCGCGCCTTGCCGGCGTAGTATCGGTGAGAATTCAGCAACTGCTTGACACCCACGAAATCAAAGTAGCCATTGTCGGCCTGTGGGGGGGAAGGCTTTATTTATGGTGTTTCAATCAGGGGTTTAGGGAAATCAAGCCACCCTCTTGCGGCATTGCGTCTTCAAGAGGCGTAAAACGGCGCAAGGAAGCTCTGGCGCCCTCTTGGATATGATCTCCGAGGAAGGGAAATAAAGCGTTAACTGCTTCAGGGCTTCCCTTTTTGCAACTGGGCTGGCAGGGCTTCCCTAAACCCTAAACCGTAAACTCTTGTGAACTCACTCAACCCTAAACCCTAAACTCCTTCCAAGGGCCCGCCGAGGGGCATAGACGAACTTCAGGAAGAGTCGGCCCAAGCCTTCCCAAGACGAGTCCGGTGAGCCGCTGGGTTCTAGGGCAGGGCCTCGGGGATTTATAGTCTAATCTGCGGTAATCGAAGTACTATTGTATCATATACTTGCTAGGATATCTGTCTTCTGATTAAGTACTACTACAATAAGAAGGGTTTAGGTCCGAATCATCTTAGGGCCTATTTGATTGGGTTTTGAGTCACCCTGCGTGCGGGAGGTCTCAGAAATCCTAACCTTGCTTGTTCGCGCACCCGCTCTCTACAGGTTCTAGGGTTTCGAATTTCGAAACCACATTGGCCCAACAGTCTTGCTTCAGAGTCTGCTCCAGGCATCAGCCGCTCCCAAATCTTGCCCTCCCGCACCGTCCACGAAGAACACGTTTCCGTCCGTGGAGTCCAGCACTTCCTGCAAGGAAGAACCTGGACAGCGCAGGGGCAGGAGCCGTGGCGCTTCAGAGTTCGTGCAAGCGCCTGTGCTACAAAGCTTCTTTAAGGCACTGACGACGAAGCTTTGCCCGAGGGCATGAAGATGCATGAAGTCCTAGAATGCCTTTTGAACTGTTCTTCCTGTGCCGGTGAGGTTCCTTCTGAAAGCTTTCAGGGACAGCCGCTCAAAGAAGAGAGCCCGCCCGCCTCTTGGCATGTTGGCGCAATTCGGCATGCAACGCTGGACGGTGATGGAGGCACCTCGGCAGACGCAGCAAGCCCATGGAGGCTGCGGAGGATGTAAGCTGCATACCTCCTGTCACGCGTGGGCCCACCTTTTATCCACCGCCCTGGGCCGCTGGCCCATGGGATAGGCCGTGGCGACCACCAAGCCTGCTCCAAGAATCTCCCGGAAAGCTGTAAAAAAAGCCGAGCAGTCAGCCCAGGAGTCCACGAGCCTTGTGGGGGGATCTGGTCCATGGTGATGGTGAGCTGAGGCTCTGCACCTGAATTCGTCACAAACTCCCACAGTTTTGGGGTGTTCTGGGAGTCGATCTTGGAGCTGGGCCGTTGTCCAAGGCCACGAACCACCCGACATCGCAGCAGGGCCCAGTGACCTGAGCGTGACCAAGGCACGCGCGGCCAAAGAACAGGAGAACAAGCGGGACAAGCTGTGGCTTCCTGTTAACATTCGTTTCTTCTCCTGTCGGTGGGAGTCCCAGTAGCAGGTACCAATCATCCAGTGCTGCTTGAACCGGCTGCGGACCCTCGACTTAGTTAGCAGAACCCTTGCCCATTTCGGGTAATAATACCACCAGTCAACCCATTAGACGATTATTCCTATACTCCCCCCTACACCTCACCAACTATATCACCACTACTACCCCATTACCAATACCAGTGTAGGAATAACCGATTACCTCATCCATATAAGAGGAATATTCCTATACTCCCTACTACTATCCCCCAAATATCACCACTACTTCCCCATTACCAAGACCAGTATAGGAATAACCAATTACCCTATCCATATTCCCTAAGGTGGTATTATTACCCAAAATGGGCAAGGGTTCTCTCATAGATTTTACTAGGTTTGGTTATAAAGGTTGTAATCATAATAGGATTATATTCCATAAACTCTTATGAAATGTGCTTACATTATACTTATGTTTTTTTTAACTCACGTTTCCTTTTATCATTATACTTTTTCATTCCATCAAGACATTCACAGCAAGTAACAGTGGTTCTACACTGCATTAAATACCTCCCCGTTTTACAATGATAATATCTTTTGAAATGCACTAAAGTCTTCAACTTCTTACATCTAACACATTGCCGATCACAATGGGGAGGGTAATGCTCAGTATTAAAATCCATGGTTATCTTATCAACATATATTGTCATATTATATTATTTTACAATATTTATCATAATTTATTAATTATGACAAGCATTGTTTCAAACTAATTAACCATTACCATGTTCTTTTGACATGCTTATGGAAGGCACACTGGGGAAATGGGAGAAATGGGGCGCTGACGCGAATGCACGCGGGGCTCGTTCCTTGCGTCATTCTATAAGTAAATCACTCTTTACAACATTATTTTTGCAATTCTTCCAGCTGATAAAACTCAAACAACAATTTAAATCGCTTCTTATACTCTTCATAATGATAATAATCCTCTAGTTCATCTATAATAGCACTTAATCTGGCGTTATACATTCTAATATTTCTTCTTTCCTCCAGCCAATCAGTTTTATTTTCTTTGTTTTCTTTCTTAGTAAACAAACAATCCATGTATATATATTATTTACATTTTTTAACATTTTTAAGATAATATAAAAATGCCTTAAGAAATTCCAACAAACTGTGACAACACATTCTGTATCTTGGAGTTTTATTATTTCATCAAAATTCTCTATCTCATTTATTACTTCTATGTATTTATCCATATATATTTTTTTGATATAATTTCTCACTAGTATTAATGTTAGAAGATATTCCTAAAGTAGAACCTATAGACATACCCAAATACAATTATAAGAATAGTAAATACGGGATGATGCCAAGTCTACCTGCAAGAATGTTATGTGTTGCCTCTTCAACGGGTGGCAAGTCTGTTTTAATACAAAATCTAATTTTAAAGATATACCGTGGTTCATTTGAAAGGATATACATTTTTAGCCCTAGTGTGCATGTGGATGACACATGGAGAGCAGTCAAGAAATACATTACTGACGTAATGAAAGTGGATACCGAAAAGGAAAAAGTATATTATGAAGAATACGATCCAATTGCGTTAAAGCATATAATAGAAACGCAACACAAGGTAATAGACTTCCAGAAGAAGAATAAACAAAAGGAATTATTCAGTATTTTAATAGTGGTGGACGACTTTGCCGATGATCCTAAATTTGTAAGATACTCAAATATCTTGCATGGATTGTTCACACGTGGAAGACATAATGCCATCTCATGTATTTTATCAACACAAAAATATAATGTCCTTGCCCCTATAATAAGACTTAATGCCTCGGCACTTTTCATATTCAGACTGAAGAACATGAACGAGGTAAATAGTTTCCTAGAAGAGAATAGTGCCCTTGTAGACAAGCGAACACTTTATGACATGTATCAACAAGCGGTGAACTTTGCGCCTTACTCGTTCTTTTATATAAACACAAATGCTAAAGATGTGAATAACATGTTTTATATTAATTTTGAACAACGCTTTGAAATAGGTGATTAATAATATTATTTCCTAAAATATTATTGACCAAAATACTATTAATCACTATCACTCTTATTTTTCTTTAACTTATTTACTTCCTTTTTCAGTTTATCTACTTCATTTATTGTTGTCTGTAAAGCACTCCATAAAATTGGCACACACGTTGTATAATCAAACTTTAAATATCCATCTTTTCCTTCTTTAACTACATTCTGCCATTCATCCGGCATCTTCTTTGTTTCCATAAAATCATTAGCGATAAATCCTACACACGATTTACCTTGTTGTCTGTCATCAATAAAATGATATGTTTTCGGTTTAATATATTTTATTAGGTCTACTGCTTTTTTGCTATCTACTTCTTTTATATCTTTCTTTAATCTTTTATCTGATGAAGGAATTAATGACCCTGTATATGAAAGGTCACCATAAACATCCACACCTGTTGTTGTTGCGTCTAATGTTGATAAGTTGTTATTACTTAATCTTATCCATCCGTTGTCGTCTGGATTATTTATTAATACTCGTTGCTGTCCTGTTATATCATCGTGTGTTATTTCTAAATTTCCCAATAAATTCACTTTCCCTTCTGTTAATTGAATTTCCGGTGTGCTACTTTCCAATCCTATTGTCAAATTCATTTCTCCCGCAGTGTCTCCATTTCTGATATATAACTTATACTGAGTGTCTAAAACTTCTTTTAATTCACTGCTGTTCTGAAACATAAACCTACCCCAACTAATAACATCGCTTTCACCTACAATATTACCAATACTATTAAAAGTAAGATTATTTACGACTGCTCTGTTTAATGTAATTCCGTTAGTGTCGTTTAGTTGTAGTGCTATTGTTCCTGTTGTAGGATCAATTGTTCTTGGTTGTAATGAAAAATTAATTTCTTCTGTTGATATTATATTTAATGAATTATTAGCGTCTGCTCTTTGAAATATCCTGCCTGAACTATTGACATAAATATCACCATTAAATGTTGATGTGTTTTGAAATGATGAGGTGCCACCAAAATTAGCATTCCCACCACTTACATTTAGTTTATTTGCGCCTTGAATTGCTCCGATGCCTAAACTTAAACAATAGACACCATTACCATTTGCAGTATTTAATAAAAGTAATGAAGAACTGTCATTGCTTGTATTATAAGCATTAATATTAAATGAGTTAAATTTTAAATACCCTTGTGCGTTTTTTACAGTTAAAACATTACTAGCGTCTGTTGTATTTTTATAAATGTTAATCCATTGGCATTATTAATATTCGCGTTTTCTCCATCAAAATTGAAATCAGTTGTTAAATCAATATCACCATCTACCTTTAAGTTCTGTCTAATAATAGCACTATCAACAACATCTAATGTATAACCTCCTGTTAATGTTTCTATTCCTGTATCAATTAATAAAGAATGAGATTTAACATACTGATTAGCATTATTATTTAGTTGTAGCATCCTACCTGTATCACCAACTGAATTATAACAATCAATATTATCATTATTACAAGTAATATAATTACCAGTATTTCTAACTGTAAATGATAGATTAGCATCTGCTGTGTTTTCTACTACTAACCCACCGCTTGGCACTGCTATTTTACCACTCATTTTATAACCTGCATTCTTATTTGATAAATCTAATTGTTTAATAGCGTCATCTGATGTATTATTACAAAATATTTTATCTCCTTGTAAAGTTATATAACTCGTAGCGTTCTTAAATTCTGCTAAAACTTTATCACCTCCCCCTGTCTGATTGCTAAATGATAATCCTGCTACTGGCGATATATTAATAGTTGAGTTGTTTAATGTTAAACCGCTATGAATAACAGTAGGGGCACTACAGTCAATAATAGGATTGGCACTAAATCTATTTGTAAAATCTGATTTGGGAACTCTTACGTCTAGTAGATTATCAACCTCAGTAGTTGTGTATCCCGATCCAGCCCCTGCTATTAATGTATCTACCTCGCCCTTATCATAATAATTGGTTGCCAGTTGCGTGTTGGTTTGGAAGTTAGTAGATAAATTTGTGTCAATCTGTGTTGATGTATAATAATTAGAAAATGTAGTATCTATTTCTACTTTACTGTAGTAACTACTGGATATTTGCAAATTAGTTTGATATGTAGTCGCCAAAATATGAGAGATAGAACTGATGTCATGAAAGTTTTGTAGTTGCTTTGTATTCAAGACTGAAATAGCGTCAGCGTTGGCTGTTATATTTGAAGAGTTTGCAGTGTTGATGTCTCCTAATTCGGTTTTTGTAGCATATGTATCTGATATTTCACTTACACCCGTTGAAGATGACAAATAAAATCTATCTGCATAAACTGCCGTTAAATTATTTAGTGAAGCCATTATAAATATTAATATGTGAGAAATTAATATTTATAATGAATTAATTCATTTGTTGTTCTTTTGCTTGTTGACGCTTTTCTCTTCGCTTTCTGTTGATTTCTTCCTTATGATCTTGGTAGAATTCACGTCGTTTTTGGTTTTGCTCTTCTTTATGTTGTTTGTGATATTCTTTGTGTTTCTGTAGTACGGTATCTCTGTTCTTTTCATGATAATCTTTTTTGTATCGAGCTATTCTTTCTTTATTATCTTGCCTATATTGCTTGTCGTATTCTACTCTTTCTTCTTTGTGTTGATCTCTGTATTCCTTATTCTTTGCTCTTCTATCTTCAATATTATCATAATAGTTCTTGTTGCTCTTTGCTTTTATGTATTCTTTATTCCTTTCATAATAATCTTTCTTGTATTCCTGTATTTGCTCCTTGTGTTCTTCTCTGTATTCTTTACAATCTTGTAGTATCTTTTCCTTTTTGTTTTCATAGTAATCCTTCTTCTTCTGTAAATAATGCTCTTTCTTGTT